CTTATTCCGACTAAATCGGTTTCTAGCGGAGTTCCGAACCGGCTGATTCGGAACAAGCATACTTGAGACATTTCTTGACATACAGTCAACCTGTTTGCACGCTGCAAGCTGACACAGCCAGACGACTCCCCAAGAGCCACATCCACTTTGGACGCAGACGAGCATTCCAGCTACTGTTGCTACCTGGAGACATCTCAAGACTGGACAGGTCGTATCGGAGCTCATCTACGGGCTCCCGCTGCCGTGAGGCCCACCCGACTTCTGACAGTCCGGATCTGCTGGGGGTCTCCGCCAGGGTTTGTAGACACAACAGATTGCGTCTGATGCTGTTTTATTAATAATAAAATCTCTAGCTTGTAGCAGACAACAAATTCTTTTACACCCAGATTTCACAATTTCTTTCAGATACAAAGATTCTGATAAACATCTAGCTTACATCACACCACCTACACACCACACTCCATCACCGCATCTCCACTCCATCACATCTCATTATTCATATCTTGTCATGTAGAATCATTACAGGGTTTTTCCTACATTCAAATGTGCGTGGCGGCCGCCTCCAGCTAATTTTGTGCCACCCCAGCCTGATTTCACTCTGCTCCCAGCTATATGGATGTCATTTTAACTGCAGTTGCAGTATTGCGCCACTAGGGGTGCTGTATCAGTAGCAGTGCACCGAAAAGCGCTAAAACCGCTGCAGAAAAAGAAGATCAAAAATTGCTTTTTGGTGCATATCTATGGTTGGTGCTATTGTAGGCTGACCTTACATCCTCTTTCCCCGGACATGTCCACTTTCCACTCTGTCCGGGGCGTCCAGGGCGTTTCCTACATTCATCAAAATGTCCGGTTTTCCATCCAGGAGCAGGGATCGAGTTATGGGGCTAGAAATCTTTCAGAGGAAGATCCAGTTTCTGCCTATATTACAATATTTATGGACTCTCAGCGTAGCGGGGTTCTGTTGAGCGGAGAGGACGCAGAGCGCTGATCGTTGGTGCGTTACATTCTCAAGGTGGCGCAACAAAACATTATTAGCACATGATCGTCCAGATCTGTTTAAATCCTCTGATATTCGTTCTTTTAATCGTTCCTGACGCACTCCGCTCCAGGGGCGGCGTTAGGCCCGGCTACTTGGGCTGAAGCCCCGGATCTTTCATGATAATCCCCGGATCTAAATCGCGGAAGTAACATGCAGTACCAAAGTCCAACAGAGAGGGCGCAGCTGGCAGTAGTTTGTATACAGCCTGCCTGAGCCTCCACCACTGAAGAAGAAGACCTTCAGCAGCCGGCTTCTTCTGCACTCTCTGCCTGAAACGCATGAGTGAAGATGGACATAAGGACGTTTTTTTAGACCAAAAGTACAACAACAGAACCCCAGCTTTGATGAGACTGGTGCTGACTCAGGTTTGTGAGTCTTATTTGAAAATATTTTTGGTGCTGCTGGTTTGCCTAAAGTTAGCTTATCAGGTAAAGTGGTTGGAGAAAGAAAAGGAATATTTACTATCATCTCACACTAAACACTAACAGGAACAATACTCTGCCCTGAATATGTTTAATATGTAGCTTCAGATTAAAAATTATGTGGTACAAGACATATATATATATATATATATATATATATATATATATATATATATATATATATATATATATATATATATATATATGATGTTGACTAGTGAGTGTCACGTGTAGGGCTGAAACGATTCCTCGAGTACCTCGAATAATTCGAGTACAAAAAATCCTCGAGTCAAATTCTCTGCCTCGAGGATTCGTTTAATTCATATTTAATTAATTCGTGGCTTTGCAGTCGCCCGTGGTCATGTTTCACCCGGACTGAAATAAGTGACGCACATGCCCACTGGACTGCACACGAGAGTAGCGAATGTAACTTAACTTTCTCTTAAGCCATGGCGGACAACGTGGACCCCGGTGGAGTGCGAAAAAGACAGAAAATGTCAAGATGTGGGACCATTTTTCACGTCGTTAGGCGGAAAACGTAGTCCAGTATAAATACTGTAAAATGGATTAAGCCTACCACAACACCACATCCTCCGTGCTGCAGCACCTGTAAATGTCACTTCTGCATGCGGACTCGGAGCCTCTACAAGATAATGCTTTTTAGCCTGTTTTTTATATATTCTGCGGACTCTGTGCGACTTTTTCGTTTGTAGCACTCAGTTTCAGCTCACACCGTACGTCTGGTAGCAACACGTCGGACTTAAAATGTGCTTAAAAATAGCAGTTTTTACACAACACGTCGGACTTTTTATTGTGTTGTTATTGATATTTGTTGTCCCTCAGGATTGCTGCAGGAGGACACGGGTATTTATGAGAGGAAAACGAAAGAAAGTAAATAAATGTTTTGTGATCAGTATAATTTGACAAAACCACGGCAAACATGCTTTCTCGACAATCCTTGTTATTGTGTGAGAAAAAAAGTGTTGAAATTAAAATGGACGTGTGTTAATAGGGAACAGCCGGCGAGCTGTTTGCGCATGCACCGTGAGCGGTTCTGGTTCTGTTTGGGCCGCAGCCGCTCGCAGCGCTACTTCAACAGTTATCCTCTGGCTTGCAGGCTAGCAGATTCTCGCACGAGGGGAAAATCGGCTCAGGTTGTGTACTTATTTTTTGCACAGCCATTTGTTTACTGTGAAGTAAAGTTGAAGTGCTGAAGTTTTGCAAACTAATTTTGAATAAAACTTGAGTAACTGGCAATTGCTTGCTCATTTTAACAGGTCTTTCATAATTATAACATGCTATTTGATATAATGGTTCACAAATACAAAAGGGTAATTTATTAGAGTACTCGATTAATCGAAAAAAATATTCGATAGAGTACTCGATTACAAAAATATTCGATAGCTGCAGCCCTAGTCACGTGTGTGTGCGCGCGCACGTGCGTGTGTGTGTGTTAAGCCCCGGATCTTCTTCAGTCCTACATCCGCCCCTGCTCCGCTCATCGTGTGCTGCGGTGATGTCACCTCACTGACGCAGCATCGAGACGCGCTCTCCGCTTTGCGGTCAGGAGATCCGTTTGATCTGCTCAGAAGTGACCGATGGGGTGAAAAAGTAAGAATCCAGGCAGCAGATTTTCTGGAGAGTTTAAAGGAGCTGCAGGAAGATGAGAGACAGACAGGACAGGAAATAGTTAAATAAAAAAAAGAAAAAAGAAAGTAAATGTAGGTAGATTTATCTCCACTTCACGTTTTATAAAACAATAAGTTATGCACCTGTAATATGTATACATCTGAAACAATTCAGGGCCGTCTCAAGGCATTTTAGGGGCCAAGGCAAAATGGAACAACAACATCCCCATCCAGCTCAGTGTCCAACTGGTAGTGTCCACCCTGGGACTAGGAGGTGGGAGTTCAAATCCCAGTCCGGCCATACCAGTGCCTCCCTGCTTGACACTCAGCTTTAAGGGGTTAGACTGGGGGTTAAACCACCAAATAGTTCCCGAGCGTGGCCGTGTCTGCAGATCACGGGGATGAGTCAAACGCGGAGGACAGTTTTCACCACACCAGTGTGTGTGTGACAACCATGGGGCTTTAATCTTAATCTTTAATCCCTGCAAGACGTCCTGAGCTCCAGGGCCATGTCATTTTTTTGAGAGACTTTCACACCACTCCACAAAAGCATGCAGCAGGACAACGTTGGGCCTCTCCGTCCTGCAGCAGACGGACCAACGCTGTGAATTTAACCAGACGCCTGTCAGGTTAATGACTCCAACAGTCATTTGTGAACAGAACGTTCAAGAGGGAAAGGACACACCCTTATGGAGGAAAGACACTACTGAGGCTCCAGGAAAGACACATTCCTCTCTGAGAAGACTCCATTCACTCTCACTCTCCGAGGAATACATGACAAAATTTGTGAATCCATTTTACTAAACCCCACTGACGTTAAAATCATTTGATGGATTGGAAACAGAGAACGTGAGGCTGAGTCGTTGTAAAAGCTGAGGAGAAGTAAGCAAATAAGAGACATGAGTTTTACCAATCTCCAAGGGCCTTGGAGGAGATCTACCAAGTTGTGGAGTTGCTAATGCTAATGGTTAGCTTCTAGTAGCCGAGATGTGGCCTGCTCTTTCCTAGATGTTAAAATCGGAAAAAATGGGTGAGTCCATGAATGCTGATTTACCGTGTGACGTAGATCGGTCAGGCTTCAGTCGAGCGTTTCAATCAAACCCCGCCTCCACTACAGTACACAGCTGCAGCCCCAGAGACTTCTGATTCAAGCTGATGTGTCCACTTTCTTCAGGAAGACCGGACAGGGATTCTGCCCCTCTCATGAATAAAAATAAATGTTTGGGTTCTGGTTATTATTTAAAGTGCAGAATAGACAAGAAAGAATCACTTCTTCACAACTGTGGAGATTAACGCTCCTTCTAGCTACACAGAAAAACTGGGTGTTAGTGTTTACAGTCCAAGGGAGGACGGATCCAAAGTCAAGATACAATAATAATAATAATAATGATGTTTGTCCAAAATATGCACAGATATGGGAGAGACATGTTAGATAAGGATCAAAGATCCTAGCTGCTATTTTGTCTTTCAAGCATAAAACATCAGTTTATTTTTTATTCGATTGTTGCTGGAAAGCTAAACATGCTGTAGCAGCAAAGCTTGTACAGATGCATGAGCTGCAAAATGCACATGAAAAGCACAGGGAAGAGGATGCAATATAGAAATGTCTTCATCTATTTGTCACATGTAAATAAAAAACAAGACAACACATTTGTATGACTAAGAGTTGGCATATAACAGTTTGTTGCAAACATCCTTGCACAGAACAAGAAACCAAATAGGCAGATTTAACCTTGTAATGTTCGGATCTATTTGCATAATTTTCTGTTCTGTATTTGTTTAATTTTTTCTTATTCCTGCTATTTCCAGCCTGTTGTGTACTCTGATTTTTCAGATTGGTTTCCACAGTAAAGGTCCTGTACTCGACAGAAAATCAGTTCTGTAAATGTGGGAGAATAAATATCTTAGGGACAATGTGGCAAACTTTAATAAAGAAAAGACATCATTAACAACCGTATTAGTGACACAACAAATACATGTTAAGCAGTGGCTCTTAATACAATATGCAAGATAAATTCATGTTATTCTAATATACAAAAATACGAAACAGGTACATTTAAAATAAAATATTTTTCCAAATGAGGGATAAATATAAAACACAATTGAATCTGTTTTCTAAATATGTAAATATAATTTTAATTTATTGAACAGTTTTGTTTTCTAATATCAATTGTATTTGAAACCAAAATAGAAAAAGTATTAGTATGTGTTCATGGTTCAGTTAGTCAGAGATTTACAAGTGTTAGTAGGGCCTTCTGTGGCAAAAACGTACTTTTGCTGCATAAGATCTGAGAAAAATTACCCTTTTTTTGTGTTTTTAACAAAAGTTCCAGAAATAAATGTTTTCTGCTTTCTCTATACATTAGAGCGTGGCTCCATCTGGTGGCAGCAGCCTGCATTGCAGGCAGAGTTCATTCTGCAGGAAGGACCAAAAAGATCCAGGATCAGTTTCTAGTTCTTTCTTGCGGAAGCGGAATCATGGTGGGAGCATCTCTCCGATCCCGACTCCCATCCTCATCCCTCACTTCTTGTGCGAGCCGATCATAACCTTTGAAACGAAGTTGACGATGGCGCTCGCTGGCTGCTCGGGGTCATGTTCAGCAAACAGGTGGCAAACATTTTCTGTGTCACTCTGAGACTTTCTGGCTACAAATCCAAATATTCTGTTGGGAGAAGTGAAAGTGTTTATTTCTAAGAGTTTCAGGTATCAAAGCGAAACTCAAAAAATGAGAATCTAGTGCAAAAGTCAATTTATTTAGACTGAGAGACCATCTAAAGGCTCAGGAACCCTTTGCACATGTTTTGGATCCATCAGCTGATTAGAGTGTGACACTTTGAGTCTAGAATAGTGAACCTTTTCACAATATTCTGATTGTCTGAGATCTTGAATGTGGGGTTAAGAAAACAACAATGAACTTGACTCACTTTGCAGAAGAATCGCTGCCTCTTGTCCACCTGGATGAGAGAAAAATTATTATTTTATCACATTTCAACAGAAATTCAACCAGGTCTCCTTATTCTACTAACACATCTACAGTGGTCTCTTCTATAAATGAATGGCATTTAAGTCAATCTCTGAGGGAAAAATGCTCTGGTGCTCCTTTTTCAGGAAGTATAAGCGAGTCAGAGCAGAGGCGGCAGGATCCGGAATCTTATTTCCTCATATTTGGACGTCTACCACTTCTGTGCAGACGCCAATCACAGAGCGTGCTCAAGCGTTTAAGGTCGATCGGTCGATGCAGGTAGGCAACCTTAGTATGAAGTACGTCTGTAAATTTAACTCTGTTTTGTCAGCTAGAGGAAAAGAAGCGCTGCATTCGGGCATAAATGTGGAAGTGGGTGTGACACGCTTGTCAGCCACTAGATGGCGCCATTAGGCAAAATAAATAATCTGTTTCTGTTCATTACCTTTATGGACAGAATTTCTAGACGCAGCCGTGGTGTGGAGTGTGTCGAGTTTGGTGGCAGGAGAATCTCGTCTCTGCTTTTTGCGGATGATGTGGTCCTCCTAGCTTCATCCAGCTCTGACCTTCAGCTCTTGCTGGGTAGGTTCGCGGCCGAGTGTGAAGCGGCTGGGATGAGGATCAGCACCTCCAAATCTGAGACCATGGTTCTCGACCGGAAAAAGGTGGCTTTCCAACTCCGGGTCGGGGGAAAGGTCCTACCTCAAGTGCAGGAGTTTAAGTATCTCGGGGTCTTGTTCACGAGTGAGGGTAGGAGGGATCGGGAGATCGACAGGAGGATTGGTTCGGCGTCTGCAGTGATGCGGACGCCGAACCAATCTGTCGTGGTGAAGAGGGAGCTGAGCCAGAAAGCCAGGCTCTCGATTTACCGGTCGATCTACGTCCCAATCCTCACCTATGGTCATGAGCTTTGGGTAATGACCGAAAGAACGAGATCGCGGATACGAGCGGCCAAAATGAGTTTCCTCCGTAGGGTGGCCGGGCTCAGCCTTAGAGATAGGGTGAGGAGCTCGGACATTCGGGAGGGACTCGGAGTAGAACCGCTGCTCCTCCGGATCGAAAGGAGTCAGTTGAGGTGGTTTGGGCATCTGGTCAGGATGCCTCCTGGACGACTCCCTGGGGAGGTGTTTCGGGCATGTCCTGCCGGCAGAAGGCCCCCGGGTCGAACCAGAACACGTTGGAGAGGTTACATCTCCAATCTGGTCCGGGAACGCCTTGGGGTCCTGCCGGAGGCGCTGGTGGAGGTGGCCGGGGAGAGGACGGTCTGGAGCTCCCTAGGTGGGATGCCGCCCCTGCGACCCGGACCCGGGTAAGCGGAGGAAGACGACGACGGTTAAGGTCGCCGACTCTGCATCTGTCTAGGTGTTTCCTCAAACACTCACCCATGCTCTGTGATTGAAGCTGATGTCTAACGCTATTGGCTAATGCTAAACAGCAGTCAGTCTATTGCATGGGGCTCTACGGGAGGTGTTGCCTACATTATGTCACAGAACCCTATCATGGACTCCTAAAAAAACCGTACATCATTTCTGAAAGGGTGAAAACTCCACCGCAAAAGGATGTTCCACATTATTAAGCAGATCATGTTTTACATGCAACACGAAAGGAAACAGGATCTCTCTTCTGCTGAAATGTGTGAAAGTTGGATTCGCTGGACCAGGTTTAAAAGCATCACTGATTTGTGACAGATACAGAGATCTATAAGGGTTTGTTCAGAGAAAGGCAATGCATCGGATAAAGAGAGCAACCTCTAAACCGTCGTTACAGGTACTTGAAGATTCCGGTGCCTCTGGAGTCCAACGATCATCAAGGTTTAGGATCCTCTAGAGCAGAGGTGTCTAGATTTTCACGATTTCATAGTCCTTCAGGGCAGCCAAGGATGGTGAAGACAGATGGGGTGGTGGATAGTTGGTGGACGGCCACCATGCCCATCAAAGCAGTGATATCAGCATGGATGAGGTGGAGTTATGTTCTGGGCCAGAGTGATAGAGTGTGAAAATGGCTTCTGAAAAGGATGTTTAGTTTCTGAGTGACTAAAATAAATCATCAGTCCTCTTCATGCACGACAATGCACCGTCTCATCCTACGACCTGTGCATCACTGGCTGCTGTGGGTGTTTAAGGTGAGGAACTCTCAGTGGGCCCTCATCTTCTCACCCACCTTCCTCTCCCCTGACCTCTACCCTATAGAGAACCTCTGGAGCCTTGGGAGGCAGTTCCTAACTGCAGCTCTGGGAGGTGATGCAGACATCCTTCAAAGAAACTTAGAAACATCAAAAACTCACACGTTGGTCCTGTGAGTAAAAATTTAACTTAAGATGTTTTAGATGGGAAACTCACTTTCTTCCCTGTGGGTCCAAAGAGCAGAAAATCACACTGCTGACGACGTAGTGTCTCCTGAAGAACAACCTGCAGATTCAAAGCAACACATGGGGTCATCTGAAGATCTGTTAAGACATTTACCGCAATGGAGGTCCGTCACTGCCACACAAAAAAATTCCACTAATGTCTGCGTGTGTGTGTGTTTGTGTGTGTGTGTGTGTGTGTGCGTGCGTGTGTGCGTGCGAACATGTGTGTGTGTGCGTGCGTGTGTGCGTGCGTGCGTACGTGCGTGCGTGCGTGCGTGCGTGCGTGTGTGCGTGCGTGCGTGCGTGCCTGTGTGTGTGTGCGTGCGTGCGTGTGTGTGCGTGCGTGCGTGCGTACGTGTGTGTGTGTGTGCGCGTGCGTGTGTGTGTGTGTGCGTGCGTGTGTGTGTGTGCGTGCGTACATGTGTGTGCGTGCGTGCGCGTGTGTGCGTGCGTGCGTGTGTGCGTGTGTGTGTGTGTGTGCGTGCGTACATGTGTGTGCGCGTGTGTGCGTGCGTGCGTGTGTGCGTGTGTGTGTGTGTGTGCGTGCGTGTGTGTGTGTGTGTGCGTGCGTGTGTGTGTGCGTACGTGCGTGTGTGCGTGCGTGCGTGTGTGTGTGTGTGTGTGCGTGCGTGTGTGCGTGTGCGTGTGTGTGTGCGTGCGTGTGTGTGTGTGCGTGTGTGCGTGCGCGTGTGTGTGTGCGTGCGCGTGTGTGTGTGTGCGTGCGTGTGTGTGCGTGCGTGTGTGTGCGTGTGTGCGTGCGTGCGCGTGTGTGTGTGTGTGTGTGCATGGGATTTTTTTCTAACTTGCAAAGTAAATATAAAATAATGTCATGGACTAATGTTCGTATGTTTAATTTTACATTTGATTTTGACGCCTTCGGGCCTCCATACGGGTTCCTGTAAATGCACCAGCACTCACTTCCTCTGGTTGTCTGTGAGTGTGATTCCCTGAGCCGATACTTTGAAGTGGACGGCGGTGGAGGGAGGCGGGGGGTCCATGGCGAGCGTCAGCGTGATCGCCTTCTGCACCGCCTGCTGACCCGTCAACGACTCCAGCTCCACGGACCCCAGGTACCACACGTTACACGCTAAGAACATGCACATCAGTGAAACGGAGTTCAGGGTTGGAACAAAGAGGGACTGTTTATTTAAATGCAGCTAAACGCGTTACCTGCGCCCTGTTTGAGAAGTTCAGCTGCAGAGTTCGTTGCAGTCTGAGAAGACGGGTCGATCAGCTCTTCCAGCGGATCTGAGGAAATGAATCAGGATTGATGTGGTGGCAACAACTCACTCACTGAACCTGCATGTTTACGTGTCTTTAATTAAAATTATGATTTTTAATGACTTCTGAAGGATTTTGGCGACTCGTCAAACACGTGTGATTCACGTGGAACAAAAAAACAATCAAATCAGTTTATATATTTAATGTGCCGATTAATAATACATTTAAAGAGCAAGTCACCTCCAAATCAACATTTTTTCTGATAAACTATATACGTAAATGCGTGTCTAATGGTGCTGCAGACACGTGTAGTCAATAGTTTTGCACTTTAGTGCATTTTAGTTAAAATTTAAAATTTCTGCCTAAAACTGTCAGTGTTGTGCCGTTGTCAGGTAAAAACTCAGCACTGCAGTTGATTTTAAATCTGCCATCGCTATTGGCTAAGAGGTACCATAGAACATTAGCTGGTACCATATGATGTCACAATGTCTTTGTGAGCCTGTGTGTGTGTGTATTTGTTAGCAGCTTTGCCCTCTCTGTCTCCTAGGCAACAGCATTTGTTGCATTTTTTAAACAGGAAGTGGGAGTGGAGTAATAGTCTGGTAGGGGGTGACTTCCTCTTTAAACAAATCACACTTCAGGATACACCCTTAAATAGCTGTGATAATTTAAAAATGTTAATGATTAAAATATTATTTTTTATTTTTTATTTACATTAAACATCAAATGACTTTCTGCTCATTTTTCATGGCGGAGATAAAAACCTTTAACTTTCTGCATCATAAAACCTATTATAATGATAATAACATGAAATCAACAGGAATAATTAAAAAGCAGAAGAGATACTTTATTTGTGTAATTTGGAAGAAAATAACCACCAAGTTACTGCTGTTGGGTTTGTTCCCCTGTCAAGTTATTAAAATAAAAGTTAACAAAGGTGAAAAAAGTCACATTTTACATGTTTTGTTGATGTTTTCCTCCACCATCATTAACACGGCGGTCTGATTTTGGCACTTAAAAATCACTTTTAATGAGATTTTTGCACAGAATGTTGATAAGATAAATAATTCTCAGTGTTTATGTAATTTTCCAAAAATCATAAATCGTTTAGTATTTTCTCTTCTACTCTAAAACACTTAACCTGAAACATTTAATGGGTATTTTCACAGATTCAGAAGCATCCTTTAAGTCGTGATAATTCTCCTTTATGTAAACGTTCTGCACCGGAGGGTGAAATTCCCAACAAACTGCGATTGTTTACCTCTGTCCGGCAGGATGAGTTTGCAGGGCAGAGCCAGGGGGGTGATGGAGTGCTGACACACCAGAGCCGTCAGACTTCCTGTTTGCATGAAAAACCAAAAAACCGTAAATAACCTGCAGCAATTCTGCAGAGTGCAAGTTTAAAAAAAATACATCTTTTTATAATCTGGGATTATTCCTGGTAAAATAAAAGGCCTGAATGCGTTTAATCCAGACGAAACAAAACAGACTTCAGGATTCCCACCAAAGTACGGCTCGTTGGGGCAGCCTTTAAGACGAACTCCTTTAGCCGTGCACTCGATCAGGAAGTGTCTCACCAGCTCGTTGGACGGGTCTCCTCCTGCAGCAGTTCAAATGAAAACAGCAGAGTTGGAGGAAGTCAGCTGCTCGTGTCGATGACCTTTAAAACTGAAAAAACTCCACTTTTTAATGCCAGCTCTAACTAAATGTGTTGTTTTTTCCAAACTACAAGTTTTTGCAGCTCTACAACTAAAACCTGAGAAACTGACTCTACAGTCCAGATGAGGAGAGTTGTTGTGTTTACTGCACCTTTTTTACTGTGCTGGATCACAGATGGAGGAGGCGTGGCCACCTTCATGGCCAATCCGTACGCCCCGCGAAACGAGTGGCTGTCCCGCACCACGAACGAGCCCGGCTCCTTGTCTTTCAGCACGGCGATGGCTGCTCGGCCCGGTCGACACGTGGGGGAAGCACACAGAGAGGCTAAGCTCAGCATCACACTCACTCTCCGCCTAGAGGAAAACTTTGCACACATGTGTGTGTGTGTGTGTGCTCTCGCCGTTAGGGCTTTCTGTTCCAAGGCCAATATTTACCTTGGTCTCTGGAAATGTCGGGCTTGTACCAGAACTTCGAAGTGTCCTGAACAAACTTCACAGTGTCCTGCTTACTGCTGGAGTCTGTGAGACACAAATCAGAGCCGCCTGTTAACTTTCAAAGGGATTTCGGTTTCAAAAAGAGGGAAGGAGGTGAAAGAGGGAAGCACAAGTTGTGATCTTGTATTCCAGGCTTGGTCTGTCCCTGTTCCTCAGACGTCGGAGCATCGGGTTGTTTTTCATTTAAAAACATAACAGCAAATGTTCTCAACGGTGATTTATTTATTCGTGCAAATTAGAAAAATCTGCTGCAGCTTTTCAAAAATTGTTGATAATGTAACATGATGGAGGAGCAATTCCACCAAAGGTTATTTACCCTCCCTCCACAGATGCCTCTGACACAGAACTAATCTGCATGAGATACGGCCTCAAGGTCTCATGCATTTGCTTCTAAACTGCTTCCTTTCCAGCTCAAGAGAAGAATGAAGATAAAAGACTCTCCCCTTTAAATAAATCAAAGAAGTCTATTTTAATAAAGCTAATCCATCAAAGTGTTAGTCAATAATAAGATGTGACCAGTCTGTGAAATCAAAATATTAATTACTTTATTATAATCCTATAGAATATAATAAGTAATATGACTTTAAATGTTTCCGCTAGGACTGATCACACGTAGCGTTAAGAGACGACACATTACTTTACTGATCCAATCAGAATCTACCAGATCTGACGGAGGCGTGGTTTTGGTGGTGCTTGGTAAATCTGTCATCTTTTCATTCGACCATAAACCAAAACATCCGAAGTAGAAAACTATGCCCACGCCATCTCTAACGCCAGTTCAAAGCGTTCTAGAGAAGTTGTCGGAGTGGCCAATCCGTAACTTTCCTCTTCAGCCAAAAGAACCAACGACAAGCTGGATAAAATCTGTTGCTGTTCCAGCTGCTGCAACGGTTCCTTTCAGAATAAAAGCTGAACCATCACGATCCGGGTGTGGGTCTTGTTAGATGCAGATAAACTGTCGTGACCCGGAAGTATCTCAAGACTGGTGGTCGGCTGCCGTGGCTGTTTCTACAGGCTTCGGCTCCATAAAGGTCAAGCTGGACCTCTACACCTCCTGATCTAGACGGGGACTTCCGCTAAGGGTATGTAGACCGACAGAATGGTGTCGAATGTGTTTATGAATCTCCTAACCAAAGCTTAGAGCGAAGACATCACCTTCACTTCCCATCAGAACTAATCGTTTCTTCGGATTTGCTGGTTCTGAGCAACATTCCACATTACACCATTCTGTCTCATTCACCTTAGTTACACCATACATTAATGGGCCATTCCCATCTGTACCGGGTCGGCCCGGGCCGGGTAGCGTAGGTTGTTTACATATCTGGGTGGCCTGGTATTTTTCCGGGCCAACCAAGGCTCATTCTCAGCCCTCTTCTCGAGGGGGTCTGCTTCAGGCCGACCAGGGCCAACACACCCACTGCTGACAGCAAATTCACACCTTCCATTAGAGCAAGCCTCTGATTGGTGGGTAGAATCAGCCCACATGGGCTTAAGGCAAGGATGTGTGAAATCAACCGGGCCAGGCTGGGGCCGACTGGGGCTACCCGGCCCGGGCCGACCCGGTACAGATGGGAATGGCCCATTAGTGTTGGTTAGTCTAGTTTAATTAGTTTAGTAATAAATCTTTAAACTTTTAAACTTGACTCTCTCTTCTGTTGTCTCTGAGTGAATACGAAGCTGTTATCTAATCCCTGCAATAAAAAGTTCCAATCTTCTGGTTAAACAGTACCCACAGATCCATAAGGTTGATTTCATATTTATTATGGAATCTCATGTCTTATGGCTTATTAAATAACATGTAAATTATCTCATTACAATAAAAATGTTCTTTTGACAGAAGCAAAAAATTATGCAGCTTGTTGAACAGGAAGTGGAACTAAACTTATGTCAACGTACGTGAATGATGACGATGCACCAAATCTTCATTCTGTCATTTTGCCTTTTTGTGATGCAGCGGGGGTCAAGTGGCCATTTTGCATGGTCTCAGTGCAGACAGCTTCCTCAACAGCCTCTGTTCAGAGAAATGCAGTTTGCATCCTTCAGGACTGATGAGCTAACTGCTAGTGTGGGACTAGACTGTGCTACTGCCATCCTTAAACAGGTCACACGGCCCTACATGATTATTTCGGCAGAAATATTAAGAACTTGATGCTGAACGTGACCCCTGGATGACCTGGAAGTGCTACATTTAGCTGCTGCTGGTGATAATTATTAAAAAAACTGTAATGTGAAACTTGGCACCTGCTGCTAAACTTTAGAAGCTGTTTTAAGAAAGCAGCAACATCAGTCCTAAAGGACATGAACTCTATTTCTCTAAACAGAGTCTGTTCATTAGCCCAGATGTAACAACTGGTGCCACAGAGACGCTGTAACTGGGTCAGAGTACCTGCTCCGGGTGACGGGGCGCCTCCGAGTGGGTCGGGGGTCATGGAGGATGAAAATCTGATGCTGAGGCTGCTCTCACTGTGAGGAGTGTAACACCCGCTCACAGACGAGGAGAGTGAAACGAGCTCCCCCACCTCACCCGCTTTCCTCTTCTCAGGAAGCAGAGGAACGAGTCCCACGTCTCCCCCGAGACTTAGACTCTCGAGGCCGTCCACGGCATCCAGCAGGCCGTGGTCCAAGCCGCTGTTCCCCAACAACAACGAGGTCAAGTCCACACTGTCGGCCCCAGTGTGGATGCCCCAGCTCCCTAGCTGGCCCCTCGATGCTCCCCGAGGAGAACTGTGGGCGTTGGGAGAGCTGAGAGGGTGGGGGGGTGAAGGCTGGGGCAGGTAGGGGGAGTTCAGGGAGTTTGGAGTTTGGTTGTGCCACCCAGGAGACATAGATCTGCAAAGGGAGAGTAAAGGTGTGCATGGTTATTAGCTAATACAGTACCTGACACCTGCTGCTGGGCTGTGGGAGGAGCTACTTAATGACCTGCCTGTCTGTGTGTGGGAGGAGCTACCTGATGTCATACCTGTCTGTGTGTGGTAGGAGCTACCTGATGTCATACCTGTCTGTGTGTGGGAGGAGCTACCTGGTGTCATACCTGTCTGTGTGTGGGAGGAGCTACCTGGTGTCATACCTGTCTGTGTGTGGGAGGAGCTTCCTGATGTCATACCTGTCTGTGTGTGGGAGGAGCTACCTGGTATCATACCTGTCTGTGTGTGGGAGGAGCTACCTGATGTCCTACCTGTCTGTGTGTGGGAGGAGCTACCTGATGTCCTACCTGTCTGTGTGTGGGAGGAGCTACCTGGTGTCATACCTGTCTGTGTGTGGGAGGAGCTACCTGGTGTCATACCTGTCTGTGTGTGGGAGGAGCTACCTGGTGTCATACCTGTCTGTGTGTGGGAGGAGCTACCTGATGTCATACCTGTCTGTGTGTGGTAGGAGCTACCTCATGTCATACCTGTCTGTGTGTGGGAGGAGCTACCTGGTGTCATACCTGTCTGTGTGTGGGAGGGGGTGCCTGATGTCCTACCTGTCTGTGTGTGGGAGGAGCTACCTGGTGTCATACCTGTCTGTGTGTGGGAGGAGCTACCTGGTGTCATACCTGTCTGTGTGTGGGAGGAGCTACCTGGTGTCATACCTGTCTGTGTGTGGGAGGAGCTACCTGGTATCATACCTGTCTGTGTGTGGGAGGAGCTACCTGATGTCATACCTGTCTGTGTGTGGGAGGAGCTACCTGGTATCATACCTGTCTGTGTGTGGGAGGAGCTACCTGATGTCCTACCTGTCTGTGTGTGGGAGGAGCTACCTGATTTCATACCTGTCTGTGAGTGGGAGGAGCCACCTGGTGTCCTACCTGTCTGTGTGTGGGAGGAGCTACCTGGTGTCGTACCTGTCTGTGTGTGGGAGGGGGCTGCCTGATGACACTGAGCACATGGAGCCAAAGATCCTTTGAACGGAGGCGGGAGCGACAGGCACATCTGATCCGAACATCTCTCCTTCTGTGGATCCTCCTCCGAGGTTCATCCCATCCAGGAAACTCCGGGAATCTGAACAACAGATGAAAAATATTCATGATTAAAAACTGAGTTAATTGATGGAAACAAAATGAGCCACTGGATGTGACAGAATTACTCAGTCAGGATGTCCTTCATTTTTCTTTTCTTTGGAAAAATCTGACCAAAAACAATTTTTTTTCCTTCTAGCTTTAATAATTTCCTCACTGCAGCACAAAACCATCCCAATCACACACACCAAGACATGAAACTGCTCCTTTTCTGACTTGTTGAGAGAACATGACACTGTCATCCCGCAAACACGAGGACGGGCCTCCTCCAGCCTCAGACAGGACTGTAAAGCTGAATGAGTCACCCTCAAAACTGTTCAGTATCATTATAAAGAGCTCCTTGTTCGGCCTCCTCACCCCCCTCCCTCACCCTCACCCTCCCTCCAGCCTTACGCCCCTTCCCTCCATTCAGAGGGGCAGGAATTTGAACCGAGTCTCCAGTTTTTTGAGTGATAGTCCCGGACGGGCGACATCATCTGGGGTGGATCATGTAATCGCAGGCTGAGCACAAATAAAGCCTCGTTTACACAAACTTTTACTGTTTGCCTGAAAAGTTGGAAAGCTCCACTTAACTGGAAGCGTTTTTGAATGACGTCACACTTTAGCATGTTTCGGTAACACTTTACAATAAGGTACGCAAAATTGTGCTTCGTTACTAGGGACCGACTTAGGGGGTAATGAGTAATGAAGCAGGGAAGAATAGGTAGTTAACCAGTAGTTACTGGTGAACACCCAGCAGTCTTTTTTCAGGGTCTAACGGGTTAACGCAATAAGGAACGAATCCCAAATGAATGTATCATCAAACTTTATTTATAAAGCACATTTAAATGGCAACAATGCCAACCAAAGTGCTGTACAAGACAATGCACCACCAAAATAGATAAAACAAATAAAAACTATAAAAAAAAATACAGGAAAGCACAAGGGTTAAACTTTCTCAGCCGAGAAGGCCAGGGAATAAAAATATGTCTTCAAACATACTTTAAAAGCGGGAAGGGAGGGGGCAAGTCGGACCGTCATGGGGAATTGGTTCCAAAGTTTAGGCGCACAAACTGAAAAAGCCCGTTCGCCACGGGCCATATAGCGGGCCGGAGGGACAAGCAGAAGGTGCTGGTTGGAGGACCTCAGGGTTCGCGCCGGAACATAGGGACTCAAAAGATGTGCCAAATAGGAGGGGGCCATTTCATGAATAGATTTGTAAACCAACAGGAGAACTTAATCCGAAACCGAACTGGAAACCAGTGTAAATTTGCTAAAACAGGGGTGATATGCTGCCGTCGGTCTATGCCCATAAGAAACCTTGCGGCAGCATTCTGTACCAATTGGAGGCTTACCACTAAAGAGGAGGGAATACCATATAAGAGAGAGTTAGCATAGTCCAGACGTGACGTTAATAAGGCATGAACAACTGACTGAAGAGCTTTTTTGTTCAGGACAGATTTTAGTTTGGCCAGCCGGCGAAGATGAAAGAAACACGACCTGACTACCTGATTTATCTGTGCATCCATTTTTTAAAAAGCGTCCAGAGTGACCCCCAAATTTGTAATTGTCGGCTTCACCAAAACTGGCAATGAAGGGGGCAGAGATGGCTCCACAGCCGAGGGGGAGCAGGGGGCAAAGCAAATAGCAAATAGCCTCCAGTTTCGAGCTATTAACGTGAAGAAAATTAGCCGAGAGCCAGGACCTGACTTCACTCAGGCAGTCAGTCAGTGGTTGCACAGGGTCAGCAGATTTTAGGGCCATATAAAGCTGACAATCGTCAGCGTAGGGATGAAAATTTACCCGAAATTTTCTGAAAATGGCTGTCAAAGGTACAATATATAGATAAAAAAGAAGCGGACCTAAAACGGACCCCTGGGGAACCCCACAAAAAAGAAGTGCCACTCTAGAGGCGCAGTTCCCCAGGGCAACATTAAAACATCTGCCATTGAACTAGGAGCGGAACCACTCTAAAGCTGTTCCACGAATTCCAATTAACTGCTCCAGTCGCTGTGATAGGATTACGTGGGTGACAGTGTCAAAAGCGGCAGATAATGAAGATAATGATCATGAAGGATGCAGCCTTAGAGATAGGGTGAGGAGCTCGGACATTCGGGAGGGACTCGGAGTAGAACTGCTGCTCCTCCGGATCGAAAGGAGTCAGTTGAGGTGGTTTGGGAATCTGGTCAGGATGCCTCCTGGATGTCTCCCTGGGGAGGTGTTTCGGGCATGTCCTGCCGGCAGGACGCCCCCGGGTCGACCCAGGACACGTTGGAGAGGTTACATCTCCAATCTGGTCCGGGAACGCCTTGGGGTCCTGCCGGAGGAGCTGGTGGAGGTGGGCGGGGAGAGGACGGTCTGGAGCTCCCTAGTTGGGATGCTGCCCCCGCGACCCGGACCCGGATAAGCGGAGGAAGAAGACGACGACAGTGATTTAACATCACTGTTTCATCTTGATTTCACTCGTCTGTCACTTCGCCGTCCATCGTCAGCATCCGTCTGTCTCGAGATGATGGAAAGTGAAGCCTCCTCCCAAGTACCTACTGAGGAACACATCTGTACTTACCCAATACTTAACCCTTACTTATATGTTGTTACATGGCCGTTTACCATAAAGACATTGAGCTTATTCACACATCATTTTCTTTTATCGTGTGTGCGGTGATATTCCAGGGAAGGGTGACCAAAATCCTGCAGGTTACAGTGTTACCCGGCTCAAATCAATCAATAACAAAATGTTCTATGTTTAGGGTACCTTTTTAAATAATCAGAGAAGTACACAAAAAATAACTTTTACATTTATAAACTTTGAAATCAACATGTAAAAACACTCTAAACTACCTATTCTTCCCTGCTCTGTTCCCTAGTAACAAAGCACAAATAGATATCTACCCATTAGTCTCTGAATAACTGCTGGGTGTTCACCAGTAACTACTGGTTAACTACCTATTCTGTCCTGCTTCAATACTCATTACCCCCTAAGTCGTTCCCTAGTAACGAAGCACAATTTTGCGTACCTTATTGTAAAGTGTTACCCATGTTTCTGTATTTATTCAGCTCTCTGTAGGAAGTTGATACGGTTTCAGTCAAATAGACAATTTAAAGACTGATGGTGTCGTCTGTGCACGGCGAACCTTTCAGACGACTGGTGCATCTGAAACGATTGTTTACTGATTATTATCTGTTTGGTGGAAGTTTAATGTGTAGATGGGAAAAAGTAAAAAAAAGAAGACTTGATATGTTTAATGTTAAAATTAGACTGTTTGATTTTTACGCCTGCGCATCAAACTAAAAGTTTATTCGTGACATAAATAGAGAAATAAAAAGCAAGAACCTTCAATTTTCAATAAGTTTGTGTCAACTCAGACCTGAACAGCTAAAAAAAACTAAAACTAAAGCGTAGGGAAACAAAAGAGCCCCCAGCTGAGGCTTTTGTTGACGCTCATCAGGAGCAAACAAACGAAGAGGAAAGCAGGATTCCTCAAACATTCCCACAGTCTCTGTCAGTGTCTCATCTCTCAGGAGAATTCCCAGAGAGCATCCGAGTCTCGTGTGTCTCCAAGTTCCCACGGGTGATTCTCCTCACTGTGGTCTGTCACATCTGCCGCTCGTCCCGCCTGATTACAGATCAGCTGAACCTGCGGCTGCTTCAGCAAACAAACGCCTGACACATCTCCGGGCCGACGCGCACCAACGGGGAGTTACGGGAAGACGGAGCGTTCTGTGCAGTCTGAGGGGAGGTTGTAGTGAACATCTTTAAGCAGCAGCCCTCTCAGAGCTCTGTGGAAGCGAAGTTCCAGAAATCTAAAATGTGTTTATTACAAAAACAATTTTAAAAATCATGTGAATGCAGAAGAAACATAAAAGAATGTGGAACAAATCCGGCAAAGAGCAGCTGAAAGGAATTGAGTGTGAAAAACAGGCAGAAGAACAGCTTCATCTCCATCCAGAGGACTCACTTCTGGGCTCAGAAGCACGTGAAATACTCACGTGGAAGGATTTGACCGGAGAGGAACGTCTTTACTTTGGGCCTCACTTATAGTAGCCAATACGAATAAAACTCCCATCATTCCTCACAGGAACGCGCTTCACCCATCACCGTTGACAAGACTGTTAGATCATCTTATCTTACCCCGGTGACACCACCACAACAGCTCATAAGACGCTTTGATGCTAGTAAACGCTTGGGTGATACGATGATATAAAATCAAGAAGTCTCTGAACGTGCTACCAAAACACAGATCATAGAATCATCACGTTCTGTCTAATCGCAGGGGTGCCCAATCCTGGTCCTGGAGGGCCGGTATCCAGCAGGTTTTAGTTTTAACCCTGCTCCAACACACCTCATTTCAATCAGCAGGTGATTAACAGGCTTCTGCAGAGCCTGGTGAGCTGCTGCAGGTGATTCAACCACTGAATCGAGTGTGTTGGAGCAGAGAAACCACAAAACCTGCTGGATACCGGCCCTCCAGGACCAGGGTTGGATGCCCGTGGTCTAATGCGTAAAGCGTCTTTGAGTGTCACAAAAAGCGCCTATAAAAGTTTGATGTAGTATTATTATTACCATTATTATTAATGGAATGGTTAAGAGGAGAGATCTTGTTTCCACCCAGACCCTTTTAGATGTGACACACTCTAAACAAGGCTTTAATTGGTGGTGATTTTTTTTAGCTTTAGTCTGTTAACATAACTCAAAGTTGAGTTCATTTGGTTAACTCGCGTTATTAGTGTCACGTTGCGGGTTAGGAGGAGGTTAGGACCCAAAATGCAGGAAACACCAGATGACACGAGGCAGGAGCGGTTTAAAAGTAAAATCCTTTCTTTATTAGGACGAGGAACCAAAAATCCAAAAGGGTAGGAAGTCAAAAAACAAAGTCCTGATCACCAGGAGAACGGAAGCTCACATAGAGCACAAAACCAAGGGACGAGGCACAAAAGCTCACATAGAGCACAAAACCAAGAGACGAGGCACAAAAGCTCACATAGAGCACAAAACCAAGAGAC